GGTGACAGACCAAGGCGGGAGCCTTGGCGGTCCAATCCCCGGACAAGAAAACTAGTTTTTGGGACATGGAATGTCACCTCGCTGGCGGGGAAGGAGCCGGAGCTTGTGGCAGAGGTTGAGCGGTACCGGCTAGATATAGTCGGACTCACCTCGACACACAGCATTGGCTCTGGAACCCGAGACCTGGAGAGGGGTTGGACACTCTACTTTGCTGGAGTTGCTCCGGGTGAGAGGCGGAGGGCTGGGGTTGGCTTTTTGTTAGCCCCGAGACTCTCTGCCTGTGTGTTGGGGTTTACCCCGGGGGACAAGAGGGTAGCTTCCTTGCGCCTTCGGGTCGGGGAACGGGTCCTGACTGTTGTTTGTGCTTATGGGCCAAATATCAGTTCAGAGTACCCACCCTTTTTGGAGTCCCTGGCACGAGTGCTAGATAGTGCTCCATCAGGGGACTCCATTGTCCTGCTGGGGGACTTCAATGCTCACGTGGGCAATGACAGCTTGACCTGGAGGGGTGTGATTGGGAGGAACGGCCCACCTAATCTGAACTCGAGCGGTGTTTTGTTATTGGACTTCTGTGCAAGCCGCAGTTTGGCCATAACGAACACCATGTTCGAACATAAGGATGCCCACCGGTACACTTGGTACCAGGGCAGCCTAGGTCACAGGTCGATGATAGATTTTGTAGTCGTATCATCTGACATGCGGCCGTATGTTTTGGACACCCGAGTGAAGAGAGGGGCGGAGCTGTCAACTGATCACCACCTGGTGGTGAGTTGGATCAGATGGCAAGGGAACATGCCGCGTAGACCTGGCAGACCCAAACGCATAGTGAGGGTCTGCTGGGAACGCCTGGCAGAAGAACCTGTCAAGACGGTCTTCAACTCCCACCTCCGGCAGAGCTTTGACCGCGTTAGAGCAGTGGGGGACATTGACTCTGAGTGGGCCTTGTTCCACTCTGCGATTGTTGAGGCGGCTGTTGCTAGCTGTGGTCGTAAGGTGGCCGGTGCCAGTCGTGGTGGCAACCCCCGTACCCGCTGGTGGACACCAGAGGTTCGGGGAGCCGTCAGGCTGAAGAAGGAGGCCTACAGGGCGTGGCTGGTCTGTGGGTCTCCGGAGGCAGCAGACAGGTACCGGATAGCCAAGCGGGGTGCAGCAGTGGCAGTTGCCGAGGCAAAATCTCGGGCGTGGGAGGAGTTTGGTGAGGCCATGAAGAAAGACTATCGATCGGCTCCAAAGAGGTTCTGGCAAACTGTCCGGCGCCTCAGGAGAGGAAGGCAGCAACTCGCTCACACTGTTTACAGTGGGGATGGGGAGCTGCTGACGTCAACTGAGGCTATAGTCGGACGGTGGAAGGAATACTTTGAGGAGCTCCTCAATCCCACCAATGCGCATTCCGAGGAGGAACCAGAGCTGGGAGGCCTGGGGATGGACTGTCCGATCTCGGGGGCAGAAGTTGCTGAGGTAGTCAAACAACTACACAGCGGCGGAGCCCCGGGGGCGGATGAGGTTCGTCCTGGGTATCTCAAGGCTATGGATGTTGTAGGGCTGTCATGGTTGACACGTCTCTACAACATTGCGTGGTCATCGGGGGCAGTTCCTAGGGAGTGGCAGACCGGGGTGGTGGTCCCCATCTTTAAGAAGGGTGACCTGAGGGTGTGTTCCAACTATAGGGGGATCACACTCCTCAGCCTCCCTGGAAAGGTCTACGCCAAGGTACTGGAGAGGAGGGTCCGATCGATAGTTGAATCTCAGATAGAGGAGGAGCAATGTGGTTTTCGTCCTCGCCGTGGAACTGTGGACCAGCTCTATACCCTTGCAAGGGTGATGGAGGGGGCATGGGAGTTTGCCCAACCAATCCACATGTGCTTTGTGGATTTGGAGAAGGCTTATGACCGTGTCCCCAGGAGCACCCTGTGGGGGACGCTCCAGGAGTATGGGGTGGGTGGCTTTCTGTTAAGGGCCATTCAGTCCCTTTACCAGAGGAGCGTGAGTTTGGTCCGCATAGCCGGTAGTAAGTCGGACCTGTTCCTAGTGAGGGTTGGACTCCGCCAGGGCTGCCCTTTGTCACCGGTTCTGTTCATCACTTTTATGGACAGAATTTCTAGGCGCAGCCGTGGTGTGGAGTGTGTCGAGTTTGGTGGCAGGAGAATCTCGTCTCTGCTTTTTGCGGATGATGTGGTCCTCCTAGCTTCATCCAGCTCTGACCTTCAGCTCTTGCTGGGTAGGTTCGCGGCCGAATGTGAAGCGGCTGGGATGAGGATCAGCACCTCCAAATCTGAGACCATGGTTCTCGACCGGAAAAGGGTGGCTTGCCACCTCCGGGTCGGGGGAGAGGTCCTACCTCAAGTGGAGTAGTTTAAGTATCTCGGGGTCTTGTTCACGAGTGAGGGTAGGAGGGATCGGGAGATCGACAGGCGGATTGGTTCGGCGTCTGCAGTGATGCGGACGCTGAGCCGATCTGTCGTGGTGAAGAGGGAGCTGAGCCAGAAAGCCAGGCTCTCGATTTACCGGTCGATCTACGTCCCAATCCTCACCTATGGTCATGAGCTTCGGGTAATGACCGAAAGAACGAGATCGCGGATACAAGCGGCCGAAATGAGTTTCCTCCGTAGGGTGGCCGGGCTCAGCCTTAGAGATAGGGTGAGGAGCTCGGACATTCGGGAGGGACTCGGAGTAGAACCGCTGCTCCTCCGGATCGAAAGGAGCCAGTTGAGGTGGTTTGGGCATCTGGTCAGGATGCCTCCTGGACGCCTCCCCGGGGAGGTGTTTCGGGCATGTCCTGCCGGCAGAAGGCCCCCGGGTCGACCCAGGACACGTTGGAGAGGTTACATCTCCAATCTGGTCCGGGAACGCCTTGGGGTCCTGCCGGAGGAGCTGGTGGACAAGGCCGGGGAGAGGACGGCCTGGAGCTCCCTAATTGGGATGCTGCCCCCGCGACCCGGACCCGGATAAGCGGAGGAAGACGAGACGAGACGAGATTTCTTTCAGTTCTTTAGTGATCCACGGTTTATTGTTGGGAACGATGGAAACTGTTTTGGATGGAGTAATACTGTCGACACAGGAGATGTATGAGGAAATTGTGTCAACCTGCTCATCTATATTGCTGGATGTAGAAAGTAGGCTATTCCAGTCTGTAGATTCAAAGCATTCTTTTAGATTAGAGATGCCTTCCTCTGTCCATTGTTTGATATCTTTAACAGTTTTTTAAACTCTTTTGATCACTGGAATGTATGCTGGGGCGAGCAGAATAGCCAAATGATCAGCAGAGCCAAGGTGGCGGGGGGGGAGGGGGGGGGGGGGGGGAGAAGCTCTGTAAGCATCCTGGACCGAACCATAACATTTGTCGAGGATCTTACCCATTCTGGTGGGGCACCTGATATATTGCTGATAGCCTTTCAGGGTCTTATCAACAAGACAGTGATTGAAGTCACCCAGAATAAATTTGGGAGAGTCTGGTGATAACTGTTCGATGTTGTGTAACACAGTAGAAATGTGTTTGGTTGCTGTAGAGGCATTAGCTTTTGGATGAATGTAGACCAGCATGATAAAAAGCTGAGGAAATTCTCTCGGGAGATAAAATGGGCGAAGGGAAACGACCAAGAGTTCAATGTCTGTGGAACATAGCTGTTCCCTCACTACAATAGTGGAACACCACTGAGTGTTTATGTAGAGACATAGTCCGCCGCCATGTTGTTTGCCTGTGAGCTCACGGCTCCGATCTAGGCGTATTGGGGGGCTAAAACCATCAATGTGTAGCGAATCATCACTAACGTTCTCGTTTAACCATGTTTCAGTAAATGCAAGGATTGAAGCAGTCCTATATTCATGCATATGATTGACATTAGCTTGTAGCTCATCTGTTTTGTTACAGAGAGAGCGCACGTTGGCCAAAATGATGGAAGGGAGGGCCCGCTGTTTAAGAGTCTCTCTTTTGAGTCTGGCTCTAACACCACCTTTCTTCCTTCCCCTTTTGGTTACCTTACTGTATGTAGGTCTTTGCTGGTTGGAGAAGTTTTTGCGAATGATTTCTTCTGGAAAGCAGTCCGTGTTTGTCATGATGTGGGTTTGTAATCCAAGTTGCACCAGCTGGTCTCTGTGGTAGATGAGGCGCGGTCCGTCAGGTAGCCGACTTCTAACAGCAGACACAATCTCATAAGAGATGAGGCAAAATGTGCCTACAATTGCCAGGATCCTCAGAATATCTATTCCAGAAGAAGTTGTAGTCCAGAGTAAGGAGTCAGCGGAGTAAGAGGGATAAAAAGGGAAGCCAGGTAAGTAAACAAAGCTTCAGCTAGTGCCTGAGCCAGGCTACATTTAGCATCCAGGAAGTCTCCAAAGACAACACATTTAAGGTGCCAAATGCGTATAAGATGTGTACAGGGAAACATCAAAAGAACTAAAACTTTAAAAAAAAAAGCTAATAAATATCCAGATAAGCCGATTAAAAAACCTATACTGCTGCAACACAAGCTGACCAGTCGACCGCATGAGCAGCGTTAGGGTTAGTGTTAGGTTGCAATACAGCCCAAAAGTGAAGAATTTGTTTTTTATTACTTCCACCTCACAGAAGTGACCCGTTTGTTGACAGAGTTGTTAATGTTAAAATAAACTAATTCAATAAAAAATAAGGAACCTTCTGGGTCTGTTTCTTCGCTTTTATTCTTTTTTATGTATCGAACGCATCGATCAGCACTCGGTGTCGGCACATTCCCAAAATCAAGTGACTGACTCGAGGGCACTGATCCCTAATTACAAACGTGTCCTTCAAAATAAAGCACTTCTGGGTTTATAGGAAATGGCAAATTAAAAGCAACAGAAATGCTGTTGACCCATTTCAAACCACAGTCCCATCAGCCAGTGGTCGTTACCGTAGGCAACAGAAATGCAACTCTGACTAGGCTCCTCCCACACCGATGTTAGCTGACAACCAGTCCTGCACAGCAAGCCTGCTTCCTGGAGGTGGTTTTCATTGTACTCTTCATTCCTTTGGTTTCTCTCTGCAGGATATGTGACCACCATCATCGAAGATGCTAAAATCTATGCCACACATGCCAAGAAGTCCAGCGTAGACGCTGATGACATCAAATTGGCCATCCAGTGTCGTATGGACCAGTCCTTCACCTCACCACCACCACGAGACGTAAGCCTTCACAGAAGCCTTCCTCCTGGTTCAGAGCTGGAGGATCTGTTGATGTTTGAATTGTTGCTGATTCACTTTTTTATGGCTATAAAAATAATGACCCAGATTCAGAAGCTTCTGTTAGTCTGATTTTATCTTTCAGTTATGCTGAGAAATGGTACGAGTCACAGGCTTTCCCTCTAGATCAGAACTGTTCAGCTCTGGGCCTGGGGGGGGGTTATCCAGCATGTTTTAGTGGTTTTTCTGCTCCAACACACGTGAGGTTGAGTTACCTTAGCAGCAGCTCATCAGGCTCTGCAGAAGCCTGTTAATCACCTGCTGATTGGAATCAGGTGTGTTGAAGCAGGTTAAAACCAAACCATGCTGCATACCGGCCCTCCAGGCCCGGCCTGAGTAGTCCTGCTCTGGATGAACCCCCCAGCAAAGTGTCCCAAATCCACTCCTCTTCTGTATCTCGTGGGCTTTTCCTAACGGCACTACTCAGCGAGACTCCGATGTGTGCCATTCGGCACAGTTCGGTGTTCGCTCCCTACTTTTCAGTCCCTGCTTCCTTCTGGTTGCTAGCTCACTGAGCTGGGCCGGCACCGTCGGCCACGGATTACTGATTGCCTCGTCGGGTTATTTCTGTCCAAAACCAACAACTCCTACATGAGCTGGGTTAACACCCACTCTACTGAGCTGTTAGGCCGAGTAGTGCTGCTGGAGAAACGTCTTTAGGTTCCTCCTTCCCACGGATCCTAGCCCCACCTTTCATGGGTCAGTAAAAAAGTACATGTGAAAGGGCTCCAACAGGGTCAAAGTCCTAATCCCAACTGGACCAGCTGAGGGTGGGCAAGTCAGAATGTGCAGATACTGAGTGGAGACACCAGTCCTGTCTTTATCATGTTTCTGTGTCTTCACAGGCGCGATGAAGAGAGAGAGAATCTCGAAGGCTGTTCTCACAGGCCCTAATATATCCCAAAGTTGCTGATTGTCCATGCTCCAGCTGTTATCATTTACATCATCTAAACATCTGCTCTCTTGGTTCAGTTTCTGCTGGAAGTGGCGAGACAGAAGAACCAGTCTCCACTCCCGCTCATCAAGCCCTACACTGGACCTCGGCTTCCTCCGGACCGCTACTGCCTGACAGCTCCTAACTACCGACTCAAGTCAATCCAGAAGAAGGTGGAGATGATTTTTCTATGAACAGCAGCCTCTCCTGAGGTCTGCTGTTGTTTACCTCTTACCTCTCCCCTCCAGGTGGCGCCGTCTGTTGGTAGAATATCAGTTCCTCGCCTCAGCGTAGGCGCCGTCTCCAGCAGGCCGACCACTCCCACCCTCGGTGAGTCTCGCCTGAGTCCCGACCTGGGTTAGGGGACGACGATGCGGCAAATAAACTCGGTGTGTCTGTTAACGTGGCGCTGTCATTACCATTGAGTATAAAAGGAAGCAGTCTTAGTTTTGTTTCCCCTCACGCGCCTAAAGCGTCTACTCCCTCCTCCCAACCTGGATCTTTTTCACCCGACACACGGCGACAAGCATTCACGAGAATGGGAGAAGCCTGGCAGCAAAAACACTGAAGAGGAGTCGGAAGAGCTGGCACAGCAAAAGTCAGCAGATCAAAGGGAGACACGGTTTGGTGTGCTTTAGCACCCCCTGGAGTAGCTGTTGGCTAGCCACTTTACTATTGGCTAACAGAGGTCCTGGTAAATAAAGACTCCTGAGAGGAGGAATCGTGACCACAAGGAAATGCTGTAGTGTCGATAAACCCGACATGGAAGTAAGAGTGTCACAGACAGGCGTGTCACACTATGAGCTGCGAGCGGCTAGCCAACAAGACGGGTGGAGTGGCGCCACTAACCAGCAGACTGGTTTTCATAGCTCAGATCACGGAAGCGCGGCACGCAGAGGAGTCGGTGGGACTCTGGTAGCGATGGGACGGTGTCGGTGGCTGAGAGGAGACGTTACATGAGTCAGTACAGCCGCAAAATGAGAATGTACGCTGTATGAAACACGAGTAACACCGCTACTTTTAAATATGTTCATAAAATTAACACGTTCATTATCAATGTTGTTCCTGAGAGAGTGCGTTTGTGTGGTGATGGACTAGAGGGGATCATGTCACGGTTTTCAGTCACTTGTCGGATTGTTTTTTAGATCAGCAGAAGAAAAAAGTTTTGCTCTCTCTCTCTTTATTTCATATTTGATCGCTGATTACATGTTAAAACAGCTTGCCCTATATAGACACGCTCTCCCTTTGTGTTAAGCTTTCACCCAGTTCCTCGCCTTTCTGACGCGCAGTTTATTTTTCTCCAGCGTACGACACGCTGCAGCCTCTTCTAGTCGCTGATGGTAGCTCCAGCGTATCACACGGTGATAGAAGAGGTGAGGACGACTTGACGACTGGTGTAGAACTGCCTCATCCACTGTGCTGATAGGTTAAACTTGTTCAGCTGCATCAGGAAGTTCATCCTCTGCTGGGCCTTTTCACGATGGAGGTGATGGTGGTGCCTAGGAAGTGACACGAGTGTCTATCTCCAGCGGTCAATGGTGCGGGGTACACCCTGGACAGAGAGCCAGTTCATCGCAGGGCAACACAGGAAAAACAATTATGCAAGCACGCACGCACACACACACACACACACACACACACACCCACCCCTAAGGACAATTTAGACACACCAATCAACCTAACAGTCATGTTTTTGGACCGTGGGAGGAAGCTGGAGCACCCGGAGAGAACCCACGCATGCACAGGGAGAACATGCTAACTCCATGCAGAAAGATCCCAGGCCTTCTTGCTGCAAGGCAACAGCTCTAACCACTGTGCCACAGCGCAGCCCTGTGGCGCAATCATGTTCTTTTAATAAAAGATTAGGCAGTAGCAGCATAAAGGAGGTATGAGGAGGTCTCTGGGATGCCGCAGACTTCCGTTTATCTTGAACATAACTTACTTTTTGTTGCGGTTGAAGCCGCGATCGTTACAATTTTTTACCGCCGCTCCTCAGGTGTCTGTCCTCATCAGTCCCAGTTCAGTCTCTGATGACCTGAGCTCCAGCTCTAACAGAGAGACGCTCATGGAGCACTGCCGTCTCAGCTGATTTTGTTCAAAAGCAAAACTTATTATCCGTGTTTACTTTCATTTTCTGGTCCGAGTTCGGTATTAACTCCCCACATCATCATATCACCTCCCTCTGTTGCACCATGTTACAATAGTCGTTTATAAGACAGTTACCAAAATATTACTACCAAGAGAGGCGGAACAAATGCCACAAAATCTGCATTTATGTGTTATAAGACACACCGTTGCTGTAATATTACGCCGATTTGCCGGCATGGCGTGTCTTGTAAATCAGGCTTTAGTGATACTATTTTTGGAGGTGTGAGACCTGCTTGGTGGCTCATCGAAACAACAGTAAAAGTTGTTTAAACTGTTGGTCAGGAGCAGATCATCAGTGGAGGCAGGTGATTTAAGTCTGTAGTTGGTGATTTTCCAGAAGGCGTTCCACGCAGAGGCTGCTGGATGTTGTCATGGTTAGTGCTGTAGTGAAGCCTCGATGACGTCGACGGCTCGATTCTAAAATGTCGTCAACGTGAGATCCGGTAGTCGACGCACCACGCCCACTTGTTGCATCCCCAGGAGTTTGTAAATAGAGGAGGAATCTGCCTGTTTTTCCTCTAGTTCGCCCTCTTTTCCGCCTTCACTAACATCTCCATCAAATACCGAAGACCCGGAACAAAGTCCGTCCGCTACTAGATTCCTTTCCTGTTTTGCCCGCCTTCGTCTCCCGGCAACGGACAACAACTTCCGGGGTCAAATGCGCTGCTTCGTCTCTACCGCAGATGTAGAAAATCACCGGGAGCGTTTCTCCCTTCATAAAGGAGCTTCTTTCAGACATTAGGAGAGCTGTTTTGGTGGTAACAGTCTCTCCTCCGTGCTGGTCTGTTTGCTGCTGGGTGTTTTTGGTTTATTTAAACTTGGTAACTTGAACTTAACGTTGGTAAAGCTACTGTTAGCATTTTGGCTAACAGCTTCTTGCGTTTGGATAAGCAGTTACATTTTGGTTTAGAGTTCATCTTTTTTGTGGTGCAGATCTCCCTTTTATTACATTTAGAGTGTTGTGGGTTTTCGGTTTCGTTTAAAATATCACCTGAGTTTGGTTTAACCACCCAGTTTAGAGTTGGACCTTTGGAGATTCTTATTTTGGTCCAGAACCCAGTAATCTTTGCCCAGTGGGACATCCCTACTTATTTGTACTTTTGTTTTAATTCCCCACAGGCAGAATTAGTTTTATTATTCCCAACCTGTGGATGGAAAGGTTTATGTTTTTTGTAGTTGTAAATAAACCTGATCATCATTTTAACTTTTAAATCCCGTTATTGTCCCTTCCTTTTTGCACACGAGCCAAACTCCCCAGGAAGAGTCGTAACACCACTCGCCTCACGCACATAAGTGACCAAAACAAAGCAGCATGGAGACACTCCGTCTCCAACCACCTCTCAGGCAGCAGCCTGCACTCCCAAGTTCTACACGTCACCAGAACATAACCAACCGCAACACAATAAAAGCAGTGTTATACAAAATGGAAGGCCTGTAGTGTAACAACTTATCAGTTTTTTTGAGGAATTTATTAGAGATTTTTTGGTTTTTATTAATTGTGCAATAAAAATAATCATCAGATTAATCGTCTAAATAGTCATTAGAATAGTCGACTATTCGATAAAATAATCGTTTTAAAAATAATCGTTTACCCCCAGCCCTAGTCATTGTGCTGCTGTTTAGCTATCACCACTTCTCTGCTGAACCTGGACGTCTCCACCTTTAAAAGCGTCTCTTTTATAGCCACAGCTGTTTGAGTTTAGGGGTAAACCAGGCTTCGTCGTTGTTATAGCTCACCCTGGTGTTGATGGTGTGATGCTGTCCTGGCAGATGTGGATGTAGGGGGTGAAGGTATCAGTGAACTCATCTCAACTGTCAGGGTCAGCCTTCATTACATCCCAGTCTGTGGTCTCTAAGCATGTGCAGAGCTCATCTACAGCCTCATTGCTCCACTGCATTGTTGACTTCGCAACAAGCTTGGAGAGTTTTAGCCTGTTTGTACGCTGGGATCAGATGGATGGAAAGTCTCCCAGGACAATGATAAGGGAGTCTGGCTACGCTCTCTCCATGCACAATATCTTCCACGAGCGCTAGCTGAGCTTCGTGAGGTGGTGTTCATCCACGACCATCACCTCATGATAACGCATGGCCCCATGTTACAAAGATCTGTACACGATTCCTGGAAGCTGAAAACATCCCAGTTCTTGCATGGCCAGCATCCTCACCAGTCATGTCACCCATGGAGCATGTTTGGGATGTTCTGGATCGGCGTATACGACAGCGTGTTCCAGTTCCTGCCATGTTCACACAGCTACTGAAGAGGAGTGGACCAACGTTCCACAGGTCACAATCAACATGATCAACTCAATGTGATGGAGATGTGTTGAGGCAAATGGTGGCCACACCAGATCCTGACTGGTTTTCTGCCTCACCACCCCCATAAAGCTAAACTGTGCACAATAAGGGTGTTCTTTTATTGTGGGCAGTCTAACCCCGGGTTTCCACGGGAGCCGTCAGCAGCACGTTACTGCAGCAGCACGTCTTGCTCGCGTAAGCTGCTGCTTGGCCCTTCCCATGAGACGCGAAGCAGTAGGGGAGCAGCTGTCACCGACCGAGCACGAAGTCACACGAGTGACTTCGTCAGTAAACACAACAACAAGCAGGAGAAAACTACAACATGGTTTGTGTTTTATGTTCTGTCCATTTTATAATCGCCAATACGGACCTGAAAAACAAAGGAGACCGCTAGCTAGGTGATAACTTCTCACGGGGCCGCACAGTTAGTAACTGTTTTTAAAAGTAAAGCAACCGGAACGCAGTACGTTCTTTATTCTGAAAATCTCGGGAGCTTCTCTCCATTTCCGCGTTCGATTTCCTGTCTTTCCTTCCCCAAAAATGTCGAACTTGACCCGTTTCAGAGGCGTCGCGCATAGAAAATAGAACCGGCGCGTAAAGGCCGCGACATGCTGCTCCTGAGACGCGGCCGACTCGCGCTGCTGACGGCTGCCGACGGCTCCAGTGGAAAAGGTTCTGTTGACCACAGCGGTTCCTATCAGCAGCTATGACGTGCTGCTGCAGTAACGTGCTGCTGACGGCTCCTGTGGAAAGCCGGGGTGAGACACACCTGTACATTATTCATGCTACCATCAGCACCTTGATATGCCACACCTGTGAGGTGGGATGGATTAACTTGGTAAAGGAGAAGTGCTCACTAACACACATGTAGACACATTTTCAGATGTTTGAGTTCAGATCATGAAAAATGAGAGCAAAAACAAAAGTGTTGTGTTTATATTTTTGTTCAGCATAGCTCCTTATATCCGTCCCTATATACATCCTTTTATCCATCCCTATATACATCCTTATATCCATCCCTATATTCAACCTTATATCCATCCCTATAGACATCCTTATATCATCCCTATATACATCCTTATATCCATCTCTATATACATCCTTATATCCATCCCTATATACATCCTTATATCCATCCCTATATACATCCTTATATCCATCTCTATATACATCCTTATATCCATCCCTATATACATCCTTATATTCATCCCTATATTCAACCTTATATCCATCCCTATAGACATCCTTATATCATCCCTATATACATCCTTATATCCATCCCTATATTCAACCTTATATCCATCCCTATAGACATCCTTATATCATCCCTATATACATCCTTATATCCATCCCTATAGACATCCTTCTATCCATTCCTATATTCAACCTTATATCCATCCCTATAGACATCCTTATATCCATCCCTATATACATCCTTATACCCATCCCTATATACATCATTATATCCATCCCTATATACATCCTTATATCCATCCCTATATACATCCTTATATCCATCCCTATATACATCCTTATATCCATCCCTATATACATCCTTATATCCATCTCTATATACATCCTTATATCCATCCCTATATACATCCTTATATCCATCCCTATATACATCCTTATATTCATCCCTATATTCAACCTTATATCCATCCCTATAGACATCCTTATATCATCCCTATATACATCCTTATATACATCCTTATATCCATCCCTATACACATCCTTATATCCATCTCTATATACATCCTTATATCCATCCCTATATACATCCTTATATCCATCCCTATATACATCCTTATATTCATCCCTATATTCAACCTTATATCCATCCCTATAGACATCCTTATATCATCCCTATATACATCCTTATATACATCCTTATATCCATCCCTATAGACATCCTTATATCATCCCTATATACATCCTTATATCCATCCCTATATTCAACCTTATATCCATCCCTATAGACATCCTTATATCATCCCTATAAACATCCTTATATACATCCTTATATCCATCCCTATAGACATCCTTCTATCCATCCCTATATACATCCTTATATCCATCCCTATAGACATCCTTATATCCATCCCTATAGACATCCTTATATCCATCCCTATATACATCCTTATATCCATCCCTATATACATCCTTATATCCATCCCTATATACATCCTTATATCCATCCCTATATACATCCTTATATCCATCCCTATATACATCCTTATATCCATCCCTATACACATCCTTATATCCATCCCTATATACATCCTTATATCCATCTCTATATACATCCTTATATCCATCCCTATATACATCCTTATATCCATCCCTATATACATCCTTATATCCATCCCTATAGACATCCTTCTATCCATCCCTATATTCAACCTTATATCCATCCCTATATACATCCTTATATCATCCCTATATACATCCTTATATCCATCCCTATAGACATCCTTATATCCATCCCTATATACAACCTTATATCCATCCCTATAGACATCCTTATATCCATCCCTATAGACATCCTTATATCCATCCCTATATACATCCTTATATCCATCCCTATATACATCCTTATATCCATCCCTATATACATCCTTATACCCATCCCTATATACATCCTTATATCCATCCCTATATACATCCTTATATCCATCCCTATATACATCCTTATATCCATCCCTATATACATCCTTATATCCATCTCTATATACATCTTTATATCCATCCCTATATACATCCTTATATCCATCCCTATATAAATCCTTATATCCATCTCTATATCCATCCTTATATCCATCCCTATATAAATCCTTATATCCATCCCTATATACATCCTTATATCCATCCCTATATACATCCTTATATCCATCTCTATACAGGTGCTGGCCAGTAAATTAGAATATCATCAAAAGGTTGAAAATATTTCAGTAATTCCATTCAAAACGTGAAACTTGTACATTATATTCATGCAATGCACACAGACCAATGTATTTCCAATGTTCATTACATTTAAATTTGATATTTATAGGTGACAACCAATGAAAACATCAAATCTGGTATCTCAGAAAATTAGAATATTCTAAAGGCCAATGAAAAAATGTTTGTTTCTCTAATGTTGGCCAACTGAAAAGAATGAACATGAAAAGAATGTGCATGTATAGCACTCAATACTTAGTCGGGGCTCCTTTTGCCTCAATAACTGCAGTAATGCGGCGTGGCATGGACTCGATCAGTCTGTGGCACTGCTCAGGTGTTATGAGAGCCCAGGTTGCTCTGATAGTCGTCTTCAGCTCCTCTGCATTGTTGGGTCTAGCGTATTGCATCCTCCGCTTCACAATACCCCATAGATTTTCTATGGGGTTAAGGTCAGGCGAGTTTGCTGGCCAATCAAGGACAGGGATACCATGGTCCTTGAACCAGGTGCTGGTGGTTTTGGCACTGTGTGCAGGTGCCAAGTCCTGTTGAAAGGTGAAGTCTGCATCCCCATAAAGTTGGTCAGCAGCAGGAAGCATGAAGTGCTCTAAAACTTCCTGGTAGACGGCTGCATTGACCCTGGACCTCAGGAAACAGAGTGGGCCAACACCGGCAGATGACATGGCACCCCACACCATCACTGACGGTGGAAACTTTACACTGGACCTCATGCAACGTGGATTCTGTGCTTCTCCGCTCTTCCTCCAGACTCTGGGTCCTTGATTTCCAAAGGAAATGCAGAACTTGCTTTCATCAGAAAACATAACTTTGGACCACTCAGCATCAGTCCAGTCCTTTTTGTCCTTGGCCCAGGCGAGACGCTTCTTGCGCTGTTTCTTGTTCAAGAGTGGCTTGACACACGGAATGCGACACCTGAATCCCATGTCTTTCATGAGTCTCCTCGTGGTGGTTCTTGAAGCGCTGACTCCAGCTGCAGTCCACTCTTTGTGGATCTCCCCCACATTTTTGAATGGGTTTGTCGTCACAATTCTCTGCAGGGTGCGGTTATCCCTAGAGCTTGTACACTTTTTTCTACCACATTTTTTCCGTCCCTTCGCCTGTCTGTTAATGTGCTTGGACACAGAGCTCTGCGAACAGCCAGCTTCTTTAGCAATCACCTTTTGTGTCTTGCCCTCCTTGTGCAAGGTGTCAATGATTGTCTTTTGGACAGCTGTTAAGTCAGAAGTCTTCCCCATGATTGTGGTGCCTTCAAAACAAGACTGAGGGACCTTTTAAAGGCCTTTGCAGGTGTTTTGAGTAAATCAGCTGATTAGAGTGGCAGCAGGTGTCTTCTATATTCAGCCTTTTCAGAATATTCTAATTTTTTGAGATACCAAATTTGGAGTTTTCATTAGTTGTCACTTATGAATATCAAATTTAAATGTAATGAACATTGGAAATACATTGGTCTGTGTGCATTGCATGAATATAATGTACAAGTTTCACGTGTTGAATGGAATTACTGAAATATTTTCAACCTTTTGATGATATTCTAATTTACTGGCAAGCACCTGTATACATCCTTATATCCATCTCTATATACATCCTTATATCCATCCCTATATACATCCTTATATCCATCCCTATATACATCCTTATATCCATCCCAATATACATCCTTATATCCATCTCTATATACATCCTTATATCCATCCCTATATACATCCTTATATCCATCCCTATAGACATCCTTATATCCATCCCTATATACATCCTTATATCCATCCCTATAGACATCCTTATCTCCATCCCTATATACATCCTTATATCCATCCCTATTTACATCCTTATATCCCAATGTTTCCCCTAGGAATTTTTCCAGCTGTGGTGGTGTTGGCGGGGGGGGGGGGGGGGGGGGGGGGGGAGGGGGTTGACACGTCTCACCTTTATGTTAATATTGTTTTATTTGATGCACTCCACTTTGAACTGCACCAATCCAGCAACTGCTGCATTGTAATAACTAGTATTAAAGGTGAATACACCAGTATTTGCACAATAATAATTTCTGTTTTAAACTCTCAGTGACACACTTTGCAGGGGGGATTTGGCATTTAATTTTTCTTGGCGTATGTAAAAACATCTTCTTTTGCCCCCTTTATTTGACTTTCTGCCCCCTTTATTTTGGTCCAAGATCATTACTGGGCTGGCCCTAATAAAAACGTTCTACACCCCTGCTTAGTAGACTTAATGGAGTATTTTTAAGCCAGTATAAAAATGACTGAAACACAAATTTACATATTTGGCATTATTGACCAATATTTTTGATTTGATTTATTTGTTAAGAACATCAAGATGCATTACAGTGAACATTATAATAAGCTGGGCGGACACTGTGCGACTTTTTCACTCGTAACACAGCTTCAGCTCAAACTGTACGACTTCAGCGCAGGGCAGATCTCACGAGTCATGTGCTCACTGTACGTCTGGTAGCAACACGTCGGACCTAAAATATGCCAAAAATAGCAGTTTTTACACAACACGTCAGACTTTTTTGTCTTGTTTTTGCCTGTTGTCCTTCAGGAGTGCTGCAGGAGGACACACAGGGATTTATGGGGGTTGGATGAGGAAACGAAATAAAGAAAGTAAATCTGTGTTTTGTGATCAGTTTAATTTGACATGAACACGACAAACACGCTTTCTTGACAATCTTTGTGAGTAAAAAAAACGTGTAGAAACAAAAACGAACAGCGTGTGTTATTAGGGAAATAGCGGGCGAGCGGAGTTGATGCATGATTGCGAATACGCCGTGAGCGGTTCTGATACTTTTTGGGTCGCAGCTGCTCGCTGCGCCGCTTCAACCCTCATGAGGAACGAGATAAAAAACACTCCAGAAGTCCGTGCGAGCTCACGATTGCTGATCGGTAGCTGGTCACGTGGTGTTAATCGCCTCTCGTAACCCCCGTACACTACACTACGCTCAGCGCAAAACTCGCCCCGATCTTGTGGATTCTCGCACGAGTGGAAAATCGGCTCAAAAAAGTGAAAAAGTCGCACAGTGCACGCCCAGCTTACTGTCTGTGTGTGTGCGTTGATGCCTGGGCCGAGCTGACGGAGCTCCCGGCTGCAGTTTTGCGTGTAGGGAGGGGCGGGCGCTCTATCTGACTGGCCAATCACAGAGCTTGAAGACAGTCAGTTACCCAATGAGAATTTCATTCAGCACGATTACAGATATTTCCGAGTTTTACACTCGTTTCTTGCTCGTATTCGTCAAAAATGCTTTATCCGTACGCTCATAGCTGTAACCACCCTGCCGTGCCTCCTCCTCCTTGCTACCTGCCGGCTGTGATCACAAGCAACAACACAGTAGTTCCTGCTGCTTCTTTGGGAAACGGCGCAAAAAAAAAAACATGAATAAAACTTGGGATGTTGTAGGCGTGGCGATGGGATTGCCGCCACGGCTACGCCTATGTAAGGGAAACCCTGTATCCATCTCTATATACATCCTTATATCCATCCCTATATACATCCTTATATCCATCCCTATATACATCCTTATATCCATCCCTATATACATCCTTATATCCATCCCTATATACATCCTTATATCCATCCCTATATACATCCTTATATCCATCCCTATATACATCCTTATATCCATCCCTATATACATCCTTATATCCATCTCTATATACATCCTTATATCCATCCCTATATACATCCTTATATCCATCCCTATATACATCCTTATATCCATCCCTATATACATCCTTATATCCATCCCTATATACATCCTTATATCCATCCCTATATACATCCTTATATCCATCCCTATAGACATCCTTATATCTATCCCTATAGACATCCTTATATCCATCCCTATAGACATCCTTATATCCATCCCTATATACATCCTTATATCCATCCCTATATACATCCTTATATCCATCCCTATATACATCCTTATATCCATCCCTATAGACATCCTTATATCCATCCCTATAGACATCCTTATATCCATCCCTATATACATCCTTATATCCATCCCTATATACATCCTTATATCCATCCCTATAGACATCCTTATATCCATCCCTATAGACATCCTTATATCTATCCCTATAGACATCCTTATATCCATCCCTATACACATCCTTATATCCATCCCTATATACATCCTTATATCCATCCCTATATACATCCTTATATCCATCCCTATATACATCCTTATATCCATCCCTATATACATCCTTATATCCATCCCTATATACATCCTTATATCCATCCCTATAGACATCCTTATATCCATCCCTATAGACATCCTTATATCCATCCCTATAGACATCCTTATATCCATCCCTATAGACATCCTTATATCCATCCCTATATACATCCTTATATCCATCCCTATATACATCCTTATATCCATCCCTATAGACATCCTTATATCCATCCCTATAGACATCCTTATATCCATCCCTATATACATCCTTATATCCATCCCTATATACATCCTTATATCCATCCCTATAGACATCCTTATATCCATCCCTATAGACATCCTTATATCCATCCCTATATACATCCTTATATCCATCCCTATATACATCCTTATACCCATCCCTATATACATCCTTATACCCATCCCTATATACATCCTTATACCCATCCCTATATACATCCTTATACCCATCCCTATATACATCCTTATATCCATCCCTATATACATCCTTATATCCATCCCTATAGACATCCTTATATCCATCCCTATATACATCCTTATATCCATCTCTATATACATCCTTATATCCATCTCTATATACATCCTTATATCCATCCCTATATACATCCTTATACCCATCCCTATATACAGAGAGAGATGGCTCCACCCTAACCCAAGTGTTGACTGACCTCACTTTCATCCTCAGGAACTACATCTGTCCAGTCGGTTAGCACTAAAGTAGGAGCTCCAGTTTCTCTGACGGGTCAAAGGTTTACTGTGCAGATCCCCCCACCCTCTCAGATGACCACCACCAAAACCAGTAAGAACCAGTTCTTTCCATTAATGTCAGCCGGGAGGTGCATGCGTGCAGCAGGAAGCGGGTGTTTGGGTGTTAATCTTTATAGAGTTTTAGGTTGCTCTAAACAGGATTCGGACACACGGTCTGAGCTGACTTCCTGTTTGTCTCCACAGCTACACCGTCCACTCCAGCGGTGTCCAACGTCCTCATCAACCCGTCTCTGATTGGCTCCAAGAACATCCTCATTACCACCAACATGGTGTCCCAAAACGCTGCTGGGGAGTCGCTGAAGAGGAAACATGAAGATGACGAGGACTATGATGCTTTATGACAACAAGCTGAGACACAAACTTTTCTCCTTTAGTTGGACTTCATCAACTGGACTGATCCGGTCCACTGTAGAACCAGACAGGGTGGTGGCCTGCTGAGTGGATCTAACTAAAGCCACTCTAAAAGGAAACATCCTGGTGTGAATCTAAATAAAAACTCAAACCTGTGATCTGTTTCATTCTGGGCAGACAAATGAAGTCTCTGTGTATTTTAACGGGACCTATCTGGACCTGGACTCGTGCTGTCCTGTCAGGTGGACCTTGAACACCTCCAGTTAAATAAGTAAGATATGATTAAACCATCATGAACATCACTTGTCCACTAAACAGTCAGTCCAGCTGTGGAACTAGATCAACGTTAGAGCTGCATCGAGATGCAGACTTAAGTGATCCATCATTGTGTAATGCAGTTTGTTTTTTAACCGCAGCATAGACGTGATTCTAAAGCTGCCTAAAGACATAAAACTAAGATATGGGCCCATTATAAAGTTTATAACCTCATTAAAAGCAAGAATTGGACATTTTATAGGTTTTCAGTAGTTTTTAAGTCAAGTTTCTCCCACAGCCTGGGTTTGAATGAGGAAACAGGTTTTTTTTACTTTGGGACACAGAATCGTAACCAACATTTTCTTGTTTTTGAATAGACAGCTTGGGTGGTCTAAAGTAGCACGCCATAAAGTCAACGCCATTTGTGACCTACTTTTAATCTAAGAAAGTTTACAAATGCCAGAGGAAATCTTTTCTGAGAAACCTCATAAAAACTTCACAATGTGGAGCTCTTCCTCCTCCAGGCTGCAGTCTCCGTGTCTGAGACCTTCTGGTTTAAACCAACCAATCAGCAACCAGCTCATTAGCATATTCATGTCCTGGCCAAGTGGGAGGGGTTAACAGCTGATTTAGGGGGTTTTAAATGGCCTGCATCAGGGCTCCTGGGACAGATGAAAGCCAAAGGAAAATTTCTTCTGCTTCTGAGATTCAAAGCAGTTAAAGACGATGATGAATGGCATTATTTGTCTCCTTAAAGCCTGCCGCACACGAGAGCAACCTGCTGAGAAGACGGTCATTCGAGACATCTCGCTGTGTGCGCCTGATTTTCCCCTGAGTTCTCCGCCTCATCTCGCTGAGGTCAATATCTGACCGGTTAGATACTTTCTGCCTCGTGGTGGTAAAAACTCGCCGTGTGTGCACTACGTGAGCTGCTGGCTGAGCTGAAATATTCTAGTGGCCAAAGCGCGTTCTCTGCTCGCATGACTCCAAGATGGGGTCAAACTGAAAATGAAACCTCTCCATCTTGCTGTGCGTTTGTCTTTTATTTTAACACCTTCATCTACCAGCTGAAGTGTCTCCTCAGCCTTCATTAGTGTCTACAGAAGTGATTCATCACTAAATTAAGCACATCAGCTGTGTTCCTGATCTAAAACATGCAGGAAGCGTGCTGAAAGCAGATTACAGAGCCAGGTATGTCCGCTCAAGGTGGTCCTCCAGTCTGAAGTTGCAGTGTGGTATTTTGGCTGGCCACAGGGAGGTGGGATCTGGGTGACAACCCGGTAAAGAGTTATTTGGCATTAAATCTTAAATGTTTTACACTTTACATTGTCCTAAGGATGGTTGTGATTGAAGAGCTTTTAGGGGGATGCCTGGCATGTTTTTGATTTTAAAAAGCACATATCTGACATCACGCTGATAAAAATAAACCCATATGAAATAATCGTTATGCATTGAGTCGTTGACATAATAGTAATTGAATCGTGAGACTAGTGAAGATTAACACCTCTAATGGACGTGCCACTAGCTGCTCGTCCTTAGGGGGCGCTAGCGTGCCGCACCACGAGACAGGAAGAAGAAGAAAGGAATCACAGCATATAAAAAACATCATTAAAATGAAACTAAAGGATCTCTACGTCATACGGACTACAAGTGCTGTGTAGATAAAGCATTTATGGATAGTTAAATGTTATTTGCTCCTCACCGAGCAAGACTATCCCAGCATGCATTGCGCGCTGGACCTGGACTCAACAGACTCGGAACAATGGCTGATGGAGCGGGAGAGCGGTGCGTTTTCAAATGTAAGTTTGAAAAAAGGCGGTAAAACAATTAAAGCACGTGTTTGGGCTTTTTTCATTTGATTTTTATACAATATCTAATATCGCGAATTGTTTCCTTCATGTAATTGTGGGCTAAAAAACACCTCACCGTACACTAGCTTGAATGATTCATAGGAAAAAGTAGACAACCCACGTAAAAGAGCTTGAATAAATGCCCCAAAAGAACCAAAACTATGTTTAATTTTCATTTAAATGGAATTTTAAGAACACACATCCCTGTCAAAGAGCTTGGATGTTTTTAATTTAATTTCAGGCAGAAAAGAAATACCCGCCGTGGACTAGTTTGATAGTTTGGAAAGGATGGTTGAGAAATTGGTTATTTGTTTGTTCTGGATCAATATATTTGTTGGAATTTTTCTGTCATTTGATTAAATGTAATAAAATTTTTATTAATTGATAACTTTTTTGATCATTTTAACAGTTTGATTATTCAGTTTTTAACAAGTAACAACCTGGTAAATACATGGTAAGGGAACACTTTAACAGGTATGTGCATTTAAAGCTAGATTAACCTGAGTGACTTTTGCTGGACCGTTTATTTGAATAAGCAGGAAGTCTTTGGTAGTGATGCTAAATCAGCTGAACATGGATCTCAGAGATGGATGGAGTGCTGGAACATAGACCGGTGGCTGAACCTTTCTGGTTGGAGAGTGGAACATGGTCCGCAGAGGGTGCTTCTGGATGCGTCATCTCACTGTCCACTGCATTGTCCATCAACAGGGTTTGCTGGCTGGCTCAGTCGACGGCTGTCACATCACTAACAGGCAGATATGTGCAAAAAGGAGATATATGGATCCATGAGTATAATACTTGTAACTCTAGCAGATAATAGGACTAAATGCTGTTTAAAACTAGAGATTCCTGCATAAATTACTTGCCTGTTAACAGTAATCGTGGTCTGGTGGTACTTCCTCCAGAGCAGACACCTCAGAAGCAAGTTGGTCCTGCCAAAGGGCACCACTGACTGCCTCCAAACCAGCCTCTCCCTCATCTTTTGCAACATCATCCTCAGGTTCATCCTCCTGTGCCACAATGTCACCAGCACTGAGGCAGGTGTTGTGCAGAATGGTGCATGCTGTGGTGACCTGTAATAGAGATAAAAAGTAATTTTATATTTTATTCCAAAACAAAGATTACACCCAAAGTTAATTTCCACGTTGTGTTAACTTACATGAGGTACAAAGGTGTGGTGCACCTCCAGCGCTTCAGGAAGATGGCCCTGAACCTGGTCTTCATCGTGCCAAAAGCACGCTCTATGATGCAGCGTGCCCTGGAATGATGGCCGTTGAAGCGCTGGGCTCCAACACCTTGAACCACTCGTTTGTAGTGGGTGATGAGGGGGAGTGGATGTTGGAGACATGGGTACCCTCCATCTGCGAGGATGAAGTTTCCTGGAGGAGGATAGGCTGACTGCCTGTACAGCGGGCTGTGCCGGAGCACCCTGGAGTCGTGGACCGACCCAGGCCAGCCCACATAGGTGTCGATAAAACTGCCCTGATGGTCACAAACTGCCTGTAGGATGATGGATGGAAACAGACCATCACGGACCATCAGAACCGCTCGGAGCCTTGATACAGATTTGGCAGCCGTCGGTTAGTAGCCAGCCCAGCAAACCCAGAAGACACAACCTCCATCTCCTCTGGGGTTTGGGGGTGGTGTATGACCTGATGGAGAATGGCGACCACCTCCTCTGTGACTCAATGGACGATGTTGTGGACAGTAGAACGAAGCATCCCAAACACTTGGGACCACCCTGTAGGATGTTCCACTTGTCAACCAGAAAACAAACACCAGGGTCTCGGTTGTGGCACCCCAACCATGTCGTCGATCCTGGTTCAGGAGATTTAGCGACACTGCCAGAGACTCCCTGCTTAGACGAAAATCTGGTCCAGGACTGGGACACTCAGGTTAATCCTGCAGTACAGGGGTCTGTTCTGTTAGAAGAAGAAGAAGAGTAGAGAACAATAAAATAAAATAAAAAACTATAAATGAATGAGATTTTTAGAAGAGAGCTAGACATTTTTAGGCTAAAGCTGAAAAGGACAATAAACATTAAAAACCTTTAAATGCTGCTTTTACTATGAACTTTATTCACACAAACAAGCCTTAGGATCAAATAAATATTAGAAAATGTTATTTTAATAATTATTTAAAATTACTTATATGCATATTAGTCTGCTCTATACTAATGTGTACATTTAGCCACAGGTCTTTAAAATATTAATGAAGCTAAAGTTAGCATGTAATTCCTGAAAGCTGGTTCACTAATCAAAAAAGGATTTTACCTGGATATGGCTGCTTCTCAATCTTAAATAGAAAGGCCAGCAACCGTGATTAAGCAGTTTTAGCTCCTCAAATAACAAATATAACAAGAAAAAAACTCAGTTGTGGATCCATTTTAACTAGCTTGTTAGCCTGTTTGCCGCCATCATGGTAGCTAAGTGACTGGACCTGGGGTGGGGATAAAAACGAGGCAAGAACTGTCCGAATTCAGAGCCACTGACTTCTGGTTTTAGCGGTCGAGCAAGTACCCGTCCTCACAAGCATCCTGCCCCTGGACTCGGACACACCCTTAGATCCGCTCCATGTATTTCAGAACAGATTTTTATCGTTATATGTTATATTTTTCAACAACTGGGCATCTTTTAAGTAATTTTCTACAAAATTTCAATGGATATTTCCAAAGATTAACGGTAAAAACTACACATTGTCACTTTAATACTTTTAACTTCATGAAAATAGCTTAGTTTGTTTTTTTCTGGTGAGTTTACATATATTGTTGAATATTAAGCCCGTTTTTGGAACAACTTTGCTGTTACTGTCTGTCGTGTGACATAAGAACAGTGATTTGGCGTTTCCTGGTGGTGATATGTGGATAGTGCTTCCAAAAAAATTCAAATTCACCAGCTGCCACTGGAACGTGCATGTTTTAGAGTTTTCACTATAAGCAAATACAGGTGAAAGATCTCGGTTCTGATCTGGTAAAGGGTGAAGGGGTTGTGGTTTCTTGCGCAATGTTGGTCTGGACCAAGGGCAATCTCTGGCTGCCAGAAGTCGAGCCAACACTGGAGTAACAAAAACTGCAGTTCCCCTCTCACCCACTAGGGTCTGGTTCCAGAGATGAGCAAGTTCCCATTGACTCCCATGTTAAAAAGTCCATTTCCATGTTTACGTTTTAGGGTTAACAGGGTGGTACAAGGTCGATCACACATAATTAGATAACCAATATATACTTTAGGCAAATAGTTTAATATTCTATCAAATGAAAAATAAATAAATAAAATCTTTCCCTTCACAGGAAAGCGTGGAGGTGAGACTATGGATAACAGGGCAAAATGGGTTAAGAGAGTTTAGCTTTAGAAAACATCCTCTCCATAACGTTCTGAGCTGAGGACAAACCCGTTGTTTGTCTGTTGTTTCAGACTTGTACCTAACTATCACTAATGCATAATTTAAGCATTTGCCTATAGAATAACCGGGAAACAGCTGAAGGGTTAGGTTTAGGGTTAGTTGAAGTTAAACTATTATAATTACAAGGTTGTGTTGACGTTAAACTATTATAATAACGAGGTTGCGTTGAAGTTAAGCTATTGTGATTACGAGGTAACGTTGAAGTTAAACTATTATGCAGATTTCAGACTCACCCTTCCCCAGCTGGGGTGACAGTAAGGCTGCACAGACCGTCGACTGTTGCTCTAGAAATCTGTTCAGCACCTCACAGGCACTATTCCACCTTGGTCTGACATCAGTTGTTAGTTTATGTTTTGGCAGCTCAAGTCATTTCTGCTTTTCTTCAGGCTGATGCTTTGCAGTGGTGCTCCGGTGGAAAAACATCATGCGCCTCACCCTCCCAAGAAGTCTTGCCAAGGTGGGCAGCTTGAGTGCTCGTTGGGAAGCCAGGTTTAGTGTGTGAGCGTAGCATTTAACGTGTGGGAGTTTTCCCAGTTCAGCAACAGCAGCCATGTTGGAAGTGTTTCCAATGACAGAAACTAAGTCCTTCTTGGTCATCAGCCACTCTTCTGCCCCATTCTTTAACAGCTCAGCCATATTTGCACCCGTGTGACTCGTTAACCACTCTTTGTTTGAAGCACACAAGATGCCAGCTGCCACTCATCCGTAATATAATGCACAGTTACGGTGACGTAAGACTCTGTAGCAACAGAAGTCCATGTTAGTGCGATCCCATCTGCTGTCTGCAGTGATTCCAGGACATTGGTTTTGGTCTCAATGTACAGTTTGGGAATGACTGTGTCGGTAAAATACCTTCCAGATATGTTGTATCGTAGCTCCAAAGCGTGCAACAAAGAGCAGAAACCCTGGTTCTCTACAACTGAGTACAAATCTTTTGCGATAAAACTTGCTATGGGCTTTGTAATTCTGTTCGCGTTTGCCGAGTTTGGTGGAATTTTAACAACGCCTGCTCCATGGTTCCCTGGCTGGTTGCGGCAGCCGCAGCTACCGACGTCTTTTTCTCCTCCGGGTGAAAATGATCAACATGGTTTCTCGTGTCTGTTGTGTTTTACACAACTTGAATACCATATGGCTTTAGTCCAGGTCCCTTTTCTCCTCAAACTGATGAAAACCAAAGTAATTCCACACGCTTGCTTTTAATGTTGGCGGTGCTGGCCGTATTTCTCGGTCAGCCATGTTGTCCTGTGCACACCATAACCTTTCTGTCCAAGCACCAGACTTCCTTTTAGCTGAGTTCTGCTTTTAGCGCCTCGTCATTAATAAAACAGATTAATAATCGTTCATGTTCGCCTCTCGATGCATCTAAAAAATGACCCCCCCCCCCCCCCCAATTACGAGGTAGCATTGAAGTTAAACTATTATAATCTACTCAAGTTAACTGATGGTAGAGTTAACCCTTTTCTGAGTGAGTCTCAGTATTTTCAGTATATTCCTTTTAATTAGAGTAAAATATACTCAACAAATTTGGCCGAGTGAGTTTCTTGTAGCTGCCGAGTCTGCGTCGAGCTAACGCTGCGGTCTGAGTCATCAGAAAAACAAACACAAACAAAAACAAACACTTGATCACATTTTTAATCTTAATGAAAGGAGATCAAATGTTACAGAAGGAAGCTGAGAATACAACTTTTAAAGTATTAATGTTAGAAAAATGGGAACCTAAAGGGTTTTCAGCAGATTTCACCATCCTCTGTTTGTAGTACTGTTAGTAGATCCCATTAAAACCAGGTGACCCTGATGAAGGATTTTATATTTCTGTTTGTTTGTAGTAACAAATCCACCAAAACAGTAGGAACGAATGAGTCAATGACACTGGAAACGATGGTGAGGCTGCAGGCTTTTAGCGATGAAGCAGGTCCCACAGGCAGCAGCAGCACAGAGCAGCAGAACATGCCGCCAGGTAGGAGCCAATCCCGCCTCTCCGACCAGAACTCTGATCCACCAGGTACACTGTTGATGACATCATCACCCTTCAATCATTCTGATCGATTGTTACAGCTGATGCCAACATTGATAACAGCAAAGGGGTGGGGTCTACCTGGATGTTTTGGTGGTTGTTTGTTACCATGATGGTCACCATGGTTACTATGGTAACCCGACTGAGTCACCGAAGTCCCAATTGGCCCAGCAGGTCCTGGACTATAAAAGGTTTGGTCTCCTCCAGTGAAGGTTTGAGGAAATGTCTGCAAAGGACACAAACCCGGTTGCTATGGAGACCGTGCTGTCATGTGACATAGATGCTTTGTTAGGTAAGTAAAAAATGTTTTTTATTTTGTGTTTGTGTTGAAGGTTTTCTGGAGTTGAGCTGAAACAGAAGGTGTAAGAAGGTCGTGACCCTGCATCACCTACATGACCCAAAGATGGCTGCCACTGGCACAACGATATCACGATAAAGAAAGAAGGTAATGTCGTCTACATCTGTTGGATGGAGCCGGAAACTATAAACACATGAGACGTCCGCTGAATATTAAATGACCTTACAGCTGCTAACATAACACATGTAAAAGGAAATACTTCGTAATATGAGAGCTAAACGATGTACAGCACTAACTTTAGGATCATGTGACCACGAACGTATATTCTTAACAGCTGCTCAGCTAAAACAATGTCCTCATGCCTAAAAACATCCAGACTCTGGAGCAGAACATGAAAACCATGATGGAAAGTTTAATAACGTGGAGAAACGAGCTGAAATGGACGTCTGGCGTTGCCATGGAAATATGTAAACTCTGAGCGTTCTAACTAAATAGCTGCACAGCTTTATTCAAACAGCTGATGGTCTCTGTTTTAGTTCTGATGTCGTTTTAGTCCTCGTAGACATGGGCGAATAATCACCACTCCGTCTGGATGAAGAACGAGGCTCTGTCCTTTACCTGTATTCTCATTTATCTGGCATCGATTAACAGGGGCTGCATTTAGACGAGCGTTAGCCTTGATTGTCGATCCTCGCTACGGCGAAACGGGGAGGAGAGGGGAGCGCTAGGTCAAGCAGGGATTAATCAGGAGATCCCGATTTTCTAATCTGGCTTTCTGGAATACCCCCCAGGAAGCTGCAGTGCTGAATACCTGATAGGTTGAGCCCGGGAAAACGGCAGGTGGCAAGCAGAAGGCTGTGAGAACACAGGAAGTTACAACAGATGAATGAATGAACGAATGAATGAATGAATGAATGAATTAAGGTTGGATATAACTGCACACAAAAGTAAAAAATAGACAAACCAGGAGGGAATGGGGAGGACGGCGGTCCTTCAGGGAAGAAAGGACGATACGGAGGCGGCTGCTCGCTCATCTGGACGGAAGGACTAGGACACGCTTTCAGATTAGAAAAAAATCTGGATCAGGATTATGCATATGATTAAGATTAGAATCAGGTATTGGATTATGATCGGGATCAAGACGAGAATCAGGATTAGGATTACGATCAGGATCAAGAAAAGAATCAGGATTAGGATTATGTTCAGGATCAAGACTAGAATCAGGATTAGGATTATGTTCAGGATCAAGACTAGAATCAGGATTAGGATTATGTTCAAGATAAAGATTAGAATCAGGATTAAGATTATGATCAGGATCAAGATTAGAATCAGGGTCATGATTAGGATTAGGAATATGATTATGATTATGATCAGGATCAAGATTAGAATCAGGATTAAGATTATGTTCAGGATCAAGATTAGAATCAGGATTAAGATTATGATCAGGATCAAGATTAGGATCAGGATTAAGATTATGATCAGGATCAAGATTAGGATCAGGACCGGATTCAAATTTAAACCAGGGTCAGGAATAAGATCAGGATCTGGATTCATCTCATCATTTCTAACTCTACATTTATAAAACCTGACTCTACATTTCTGTGAATACTCTGAGTCAGGGCTCTGTCTAACGCCTGATCAGCTGCCCTCATACCATCTCTAATCTAATGAGTGTTTCCATGACAACAAGCAAACAGAAACTGTCTGCTTGTTGATTCGTGTTTCTGACAAACCATTTGTTTGTTTCCAGTTAAACCAGGTTCTGGTTCTGATGGAGCCGGACCGGCGCTGAATAGTTAGTTAACTAAAAGATCTGTTCGGAAGCCAAATTTGGCTGATTTAGTCAGACGAAATCTTTTTATCAGCTGGTGTTCGAGAAGGAAACACTTCCTGTTTCCATCCATGACTCGTTTTCATGTTGCCAATCAGCTGATCGCCCTTCATGTTCAGGTAAATGTTTCAGGAGTAAAGGAGAACTCACCTCCAGCTGAAGGACATCCGTCTGCTCAAAAGAACCTCAGAGGAGCTTCTGAGGAGGACAGGCTCTGAGGGACGGCCTTCTCCTCCAGGTCCTCCTCCAGGTCCTCCTCCTGAAGCCCTCACATGTCCTCCCTGCTGAATCTTCCACTTCCTGGAGTGTTGGACCCATTGATCCCAAACAGCTGTGCTGAAGCAGTGTTTGCCGACCTTTTTTGACTTGTGTACCCTGCAAGTCCTTTCCTCTCACCACAAGTGCCCCTCTACAGATGTGTAGATGTGGACCATACTTCTGAAAAATCTGTGTTGCGATATTCTCTCCTGCTTATTTATGTCTAGAGGCGTTTTGTGAATACCAGATGAAATACTAAAAACTATAGTGTGTCATTTAAAGAATATTAAACGTCTAACATGTATTTACAGAAACGTTTGTGTAGATTTTATGTTGCATTCTGATTTTCTCTGTAAAACTAAAGCCAAATGTGGTGAAAACTCTTAAATAATTTCACCTGAAATAAAAAAAACGACATTTCTTCCTGATTCATTTAATGAAGTTCTTCTTCACAAGAGCCAGCTAACTTCAGGGTTCATCTCAAGGTCCTGGTTCTGGTCTATAGGGCCTTACATGGCCAAGCACCATCTTACATTGGTGATCTTCTTAGTCCCTACACCCCCAGCAGGTCCCTGAGGTCCAGTGATCAAAGCCTACTGGTTGTGCAGCACCAGGCTAAAGGTCAAAGGTGACAGATCATCTGCTGCTGTGGCCTCCAGACTCTGGACCTCTCTCCCCCTGAGCCTGAGATCAGTGGACTCAGTGGTCTCCTTTAAACTCACCTGTTCAGGCTTTGGTGGGACCTTCATCACCTCCCTCTCCTTATTCCACCTTTCCCGGGATCCACTGATTTCCCTCTGTCTTTCCTTACTTTTTTTGTTCTTTTCTCCTTTTAAACATATTTGTAATCATTTTTGAAATCTTTTAATTTTTTGTTTTTGTGAACAAGCCTCGTGATTTTTATCTTGAGAGGCACTTTATAAAATATTGTCTTCTTCTTCTACCCATGGTCACGAGCTTTGGGTAGTGACCGAAAGAACGAGATCATGGATACAAACTGCTGAAATGAGTTTTCTCTGCAGGGTGTCTGGGCTCTAGACATAGGGTGAGAATATCGGTCATCCGAGAAGGGCTCGGGGTAGATCTGCTGCTCCTCCACGCCGTGAGGAGCCGGTTGAGGTGGCTCGGGCATCTGGTCAAGATGCCTCCTGGACACCTCCCTGGTGAGGTTTCCCAGGCACGTCCAACCAGGAGGAGACCTAAAGGAAGACCCAGGACACGCTGGAGG